CCCCCCAAAAAAAAATTTAAAAAAAACAAAACAAGTAGATTTGAATATGCGGCTGGTGGTGTAGAAAACACTCTTTTCACCACTACACCAAACTGTTTTCACATATATCACTTTGAAATTAATGGTCATGTAAGCCCGTATAAGCACACACACATACACACACACCCACACACACACACACCTCTATACGGCAAACTGTTATACAAGTTTTCGATCATTGTGTGCTTGAACTTTGACCCTGACCATTCAAAATTTACTTACTTCCCGATCTCTGGTAAATTGCCAAGTTTGACAATTTTCTGATAAAAACTGTTTCAAAAAATCGTTTTTTGGTTGATTGTGACCTTGACCTTTAACCCTTACCCTTCAACATTCAATTACCTTGAGATCTTTGTCATGGAACCTTGTGACCATGTTTAGAAGTTTGTGATTAAAACTATAGGCTGTAGACAAATAAATAAAAAATGTTTTTCTTTGATTGTGACCTTGACCTTTTTCCCTGACCCTTAAAAATATAATCAGCTCTAGATTCTAGGTAAAGGAACATTGTGGCAAAAGTTTGACGAATTCCTGACAAAAACTGTGGGCTATAGGCTGTTCACAATGCCATGCCGACAGTCAAATAAATAGCTAAATAAAAAACCAAGCGAAAAGACAACCTGTCTAATTCATCATAAAATTCACTCTAATCTATAAATTAGGTGTATATCATCACTCTGCATATGTTTTGCAACCTTTTACTTGACGGTCATATTAAAGTTTCATATGGCGACTAATAATTGTCTTAAAATGTGTATTCTCTCACGTACACTAGTAGTTGGACCTTGTTTTGTATGCACTTTAAGGTGTACAGAATTTGACTTTGGGCAAAGAATCACCCCTGGTTAGTGACGAATTTCGAAAATGTGGTAAAAATGTCACGTTTCCCACACTTCAATTTTGGAGTACCATTATATCAATTTTCCTCTCCCCTTTCAAATAATAATGATGATAATGATAATGATAATAATAATGATAATAATAATAATAATAATAATAATAACAATAACAATAACAATAATAATAATAATAATAATAATAATAATAATAATAATAATAATAATAATAATAAATGAAAAAAAATGATAATAATAACAATAATATTCTATTTTCAGCATGGATAATGAAAACCGGACAGAATACAATTTGAAAAATAAAGCAAATGATAAACCTACTAGAGAGCCATTGTAAGTATAACACATTTAAAACTTTGCACTCCATTTATTGTTCGTCGTTGCAATTAATACATGTCAGAGAGATAGTTGGACCTTGTTTTGTATGCACTTTAAGGTGTACAGAATTTGACTTTGGGCAAAGAATCCCCCCTGGTTAGTGACGAATTTCGAAAATGTGGTAAAAATGTCACGTTTCCCACACTTCAATTTTGGAGTACCATTATATCAATTTTCCTCTCCCCCTTCAAATAATAATGATAATAATAATAATAATAATAATAATAATAATAATAATAATAATAATAATAAATGAAAATAAAATGATAATAACAACAATAATATTCTATTTTCAGCATGGAAAATGAAAACCGGACAGAATACAAATTGAAAAATAAAGCAAATGATAAACCTACTAGAGAGCCATTGTAAGTATAACACATTTAAAACTTTGCACTCTATTTATTGTTCGTCGTTGCAATTAATACATGTCAGAGAGAACTTTCCTACATGTTAACATGGTAATTTATTATTTTCTTCATCACACACCTGTATTTGTCTCTAAACCATAGCGATCCATGTAGATTTTAAGCTTTTTTTTATATTTCCATCAATAATGCGTTTCAGCTGGAGGACTAGAATGTACGTGTTTGTATCGTGCGTTTAAACTGTCGGTTCACGTTATTAGAACAGGGTACATTCCTGGAGAAAAAAAAATAAATAAAAAATAAACGGGAAATTTCCTACCTATTCAACTATCAAAAAAAGTTTAAAACAATGGGATACATTGATAATAAAGGAATATTTTGGTAATTCCGTAACTGGTATTATTTAAGGCATACATAGATTCCAGGCATCTGATTGGTTAAAAGGAGGGCAATATCTTCAACCATTATTCCTATGATGTAGGTTGAATGATAGTTCATAAATTCCCAGGGATTTTTTTTTTCTTTTTTGCCCTGTCACGATTTAATCTCTATTCCCCACTTATAACGTCGCTGTGTATTTTATGATACGCACTGACGGCGCAGATAACGTGACCTCATCGACGCTGAGGGAGGTTGCCCCCCCCCCTAGACCGCCTATATGCTTTATTATATATTATGATTATTGTTGGTTATGAATCAGTTCAAAGCAATTTTTTATATTTATACATTGTGGTTAGGCCTACAAATTAATTTATATCAACGTTTGTATTGCTAGATATCATTATGCCATTTAATCAGTATATTTCAGCAAAATAAAATAAAATAAAAATAATTTAAGACCGGGAATAAAAGCCGGACGCACTCTCATATTAAATTGGTCTGTCAGAGTAAATATACAATGTTTAATCAGGCTTTAGTGGTGAATTCTGATCAAACAATGTGTGTTTCTTTCCTTGTATGATTGTTATTTAGTGTTATAGACAATTTGTTTTATAAATGTTATATAAATTGAAATTGTATGCCAGGCCTAGGTGTTAACATGTAATCAAAGAGATATCCATTAATGCAGTAACTTCTTTAAATGTGATAAACACATCGTACCGGTTTATATAGTGTTGAGGTATGTACCTCACAACTAGATACAATCCGAGTAGAAACAAGGGGAAAGCAAGCAGACACGATCACATCCGAGATCGTAAATAAAAGAATAAACAAGAGATCATCAAATCAAGATGCAAATTCCAAAAACAAAAACCTTGTAAGTAATAAATTCAGTAAAATGAATAAGCACAAGTAACTTGCATAAATGTTGAGCTCAGCAAAATTGTATAACCATTTTAAAAGCAAAGTTTTTTTTTGTTCGTAATATGTAGGTTTTTATCATAAACGTTTATTTAGATATTTTAGAAACAAATTCATTGGATTTAATAAATAATTTAAAAGATTTTTTTTTTTAATTTTGAAAGTCGTATGCTTACTTTTTTTGTTCTTGCATTTGTAATCATGGTGATTCAGTAACTGAAAGTCAACGCCTACAAATTTTTAGTGTACGCCTACAACTTTTATTAAAAATTTAAAAAAAATCGTTTTTCACATGTAAATTTTACTTTTGCCTACAATATTTTTTATTTAAATGCAAACACAAAACTCTACCCCTGCCCCCACCCCCGCCAAAAAAAAGTGTGGCTGACTAGACTCACTGGCAATAAACAATTCTTAGAGATAGGAATATAGCATCGATACTAACCACAATAAAAATAGCAATATTAACAGGAATATGTTCATAAAACTTGTTGAATATGAACATAACTACCACTACTAGCAAAATAGTATAGTACTGTAGTAGATTTTGCAAAAGCAATAAATAAATAAATATTCTCAAATAATTACAGCGTATAAGTACTGTAAGTATTACTACGAAAATGTTATTGCTGATCAATTTATTTAAAAATAATTACAACAGAAACAATACAACAAATAGTATCATGTTTATGAATAATTCTATTTATATAATAAAACATTATTTATTTTGCAAAAAACAAAAAAATTAAATTAAATTTAAAAAGGCAAATGGGAAAAACCCATAAAACAGCAAACGGCCACATAATGCAAAACAATTTAAAATTAAAACCGAACAGTAGAGAAAATCCGATCAGAATGACAAAATAAACTAAGCATCCACTGGAAGGAAATGGATAATTTTTTCATTCCTGATGATGACATAATTAATGTCGAAATATTGAATCCCAACACGATGGCGTGTATTTCAATACTTGGAGTATGTATTATATTTTCTTATTGAGACCATGTGTGTGTGTTTGTAGCTTCAAAATGTATTTCAGATCTTCTCGTTGCCTATGTTCAGTGGAGTACAAGCTGCTAGCTATAAGAGGGACTTTGAGACGGTGAATATTGTGATGAAGGGATTTAAAATGTTTCGCAACAGGGAAACCAGGGGTATTATTGCTGATGGAGTGTTTATGGTTATTAAACCGCGGTAGGCGGAATTTAGTACCCGTTTTGACAATGTAATGTCCTTTCTTGCAAAGAGTGCATGATATTAGGTAAAATAACATTAGTCGTGTGCTGGATGCCATGGAGTACGGACGTATTTTGTACTCTCCGCTAGGCAGCCTTTACAATCCACTCATGCACAGCAGCGGGAAAATGAGTGCAACTCCGACGCCTCTTTGGGAATGCACGGGTAAGAGAAACTATAAGCGAAGGAAATTGCCAAGGAGACTAAAGCAAAGAAAGAGAATATAATGGCGACAAATACTAGGTCAAAAACAGAAAACGGTGATGGTAAATTTGAAGCTATACTGAAAAGATTGAACAAACTCGATTATGTAGATTCTATTATTGAACGACTCGCCATCTTGGAAAAGGAATTTAAAAACATGAGGAAGCGAGGTCAAAACATTGAAACATTCCAGGACTTCTGGCAGGCAAATTTAGACAAGAATGCCGGTACTAGTACGATGGAGAGGTTACAACTTGGAATTGTAGAGCAATTAGAAAATTTTTTAGCTTATGCTTTAGAATTGATTAAAACTAACCAAAAATTGATGTAAATATAGTTTTAAAAAAAAGGGCACACTGCACTCCAAAGTTCCTAGCAGACGGCAGCAGAAACAGAAAACATCTGAGACCAATACATCGCCTTCCAAAAATATACAGACAAAATTAAAGTAGTGAGAGGAGTCGTTAACCTAAAAAATAGCCCTAATACATGAAAAACAATTTAGATAACAGACGAATTTACGCCGGCTCTAAGAATTATACGAAAGAAATTATGGGCAATTTCTTATTGAACGAAAAACCTGAGCGAAAAGTATATTATCCAGCTAATTGTAAAACAAGATGAAAACAAGTACTATAGGCCTGGACTAAGCCTATCTCATATTTGTATGAATTATAAGGCGAACTAACCCTTCTAATAATCTACTTTGGCATGTACTATTTTTGCATCCTTTAAGGCTTGTATCAGCAACATGATTATTGAAAGTTATACATTTTTTGTTTGTATTCCTTTTTGCTTTACCAAGAAAATCTTGCTGATATGTTTTTATTTACGCTTTTAGGATTGGGAAAGGAATGGGAATTGGGAATATATATATATTTTTTTGTCGAAAGGCTTTTTCTATATATTATTTGACTTTTACTTTTCATTGTTTTTTTATCTTTACTGACTAAACAAAAGAATGTATATGCAAATCGTAGATATTGTACCAGACACAAGCTGCAATCTGATCACCTTACAAGCATAATTTATATAATTGGTGAATACTTGGCCGGCGCGTCTCGGTTGAGTTATGTGACTTGGTGGTTTGTTTGCAGCATACCTGTTTCTCATCATTAATTTGCAATCAACAACTAAGCAATAAAAATAATTGGTTAATATATAATCTGTTTATAACATGTCCCTGTAATATATTTTACGTAGAACGGTTTAATTTGATAAGTGTACATATTATGTATTTAATTTTCTGGTTGTTTAAAATGCCATCCTTCGTTTATACCTTTACCACTTTTCTACCTGATTAAATTTAACTTTCTCTTTCTCAAGAACTTATATTTGTTCAACCCTGGATTTCCTATTTTCATTAGGTAAAATTCAAAGAGAAATTCACAATACATTCTCGTGAAACGTTACTGCATGAGTTATTACCATGGCTCAGACGGAGTAAGACATGTTTTTTAGCCTCGTAACCATAGCAAAAAATGAAGTGATTTAGAGGCTTGTGAGATTTTTTTTTTAAACAAACAAACACAGGCTAAAACGTGGAGATTTATGAAAAATACGAATGGCAGAAACAGTAGAGAAACCAGTTTTGAAAAAGTCTAATAAAACAAAACGGAAAAGGACGACGACATTCTTACAGCTATGGACGTCACGCCAGGTGGAAATAGCAGACGAGACGTCGATGCAAGCACCAATAAGTCAACAACGGCTCTACACAAGAAGAAGCTGAACACAATCACTAACATGCTAACAGACGGGCTGAGCTGCCTGGTGAATGTGGAGTCTAAACACAACAAATGAGAGAGTAAATACAGTACAAGATAGCTTAACGTTGTTCTCTGACACAATAGAGGAAATATAAGTAAATGTGCATGACGGTATTAAAAAGTCAAACATGGCCGAACTAGAAGAGAAAGTGAATGATTTAGAAAATAGGTCTCGGCGAAGTAACATTGTGCTTTGGGGTGTGCCGAAAATCAATCTGTTTGTGCTTGTTTTTACGACAGGATTTAAAAATGCGGGAGTCAATAATGATTGAGAAAGCTCACCAAAGCCCAATGGGCAAATTATCACAAGCAGATGCTAAGTGCCGAAATACACCTTGGCCGATTCATGTGAAGTTTTTGCGGTATAAGCACAGAGAACAAGCGCTTCGTAATACCCCTAAATGGTTGAAATCAAAACGGTATGAAGGAAGGAAAATGTTTTTAAGCGATGTGTCGAAATCTGTAAGAGAAAATAGAAAAAAAAATTAAAATACCAGTACAAAATAAGCTGCAATGTGAAGGAAAGTATGCTACAATATTATGGTCGGTCCCAGCATGCTCTTTGTTGAAAACGAAAGAAGGGAAATTTGAAAGAGTCTCAGTGGATGCTATGAACGATATTTAAAAGGTCAAAACGTGGTTAGGTTGAGCTAAGGAACAAGAAGGTACGTTCCATTGAGCTGAAGCTTTGATTTTTGGAGGTGGAACGAATCCATCAGTACTTCCTAGAAAAATTATCTTTCCGAGGTAAATTTTTAATTTTTTCGTTCTGTTTTGTGTGTGTGTGTGTGTGGGTGCGTGTGTGTAGTATGTTTATATTGTCACTATGCATTGCACTCCAATAGTTATAAAAAAGAGGGCACACTCACTGACATGATTGGTACAAGTATTGAAATTGTGTCTATGAATACTGTCGTGGTCTTGCTGACAAACAGGAAAGGTCAGATATTTTTAACTATTTAAAGACTAGAAATGCTTAGATTTACTCAGGAGTGGCACTATCGGGGGCGGGCGGTGGGGTGGCCCAGTGCACCCCTGTCAGGGAGAGCTGGAGAAAAACAACAATTCGTCGGGAAGAAAAAATATATGAATTTTCTACATATTAGTAGACTCTAAACTTGATTAAAAAAGCATTTTAAACCCCTAAATCGTCAAAAGTTTTGGGGGCTTCGCCCCTGCCATCTTCGTTAAAAATTTTAATCGAAGCTCGGCCACGCCCACTTTACTTTCGTCGGGGAAATCTGACCCCTCGTCGGAGGCATCGGACTCCGTCGGGGTCCTCGGCCCCCTCGTCGGGCAAATCCCGGCGCCACCCCTGGATTTACTGCCTACACAAGACACATTCAATTAAGAATATCGATTACCACCACGTAGATAACGAATGGATCGGGGATGTCATAGCTGTTTAAATTTTTAAGCAAGGGGGTGGGGGGTTATAGTTTTAATAAACAAGATAGTTGACTATGTTATTTATGATGTAAAAGCAGACACCTATGTCAACTATTTAGTTATTAATATAACATTTGAAGAAGTGCACAATATAATAGATTCTGAGAAATTCCTACAATTTTACAAACAAAAAGGAGCATCTAAAAACGCTTTGAACATAACCCCTGTTTCAGAGGGCTTCATTTTAAAAGAGTTCCATGAAAATGCTAAACGTTTTACATGGATGCAAACAAACCCAATTAAACAAAGCAGACTTGACTTCTTTTTAACTTCTGAGGAGTTATTAATTTGTGTAGACAATTAAAGCTGATATTGTGCCAGGGTATAAAACAGATCATTGAATGATCTTCATAAACTTGCATTTAACAACCTAAGAAAAGGGAAAAGTTACTTTTTATTAAAAGATATTGATTATGTTGACTTAGGTATAAAAAACAATTATGGATGTAGTAAAACAGTATGCTGCATCCCCTTACAACCCAGATAAAATTGAAAATGTCCACCAATCAAATTTAAGCTTTCACATTACTGATAAAAATTTTTGAAATGCTTTTACTGAAGATAAGAAGTCAAACAATATTCATTCTTCAAAAAAAGAATGGCTGATCAAAAGATTCTATATTGGTCCATGAAATTGAAGCATTGGAAAGTCAGAATACCATATTAAATCATAACAGTCTTGAAATATTAATTTAAAAAATGAGGTTGAAACCTTAAGAAAAATAAAAGTGGAAGGAGTAATGCTAAGGTCAAAAGTAAAATGGGTCGAAGTAGGTGAACAACCTTCTTTTTTCTTAGGTTTAGAAAAAAGAAATTGTGTAAATGAACAAATTAACAGATGTGTATATGTATATGTGTATATGTACATGTGTATATGTGAAACTACATATGCAGATGAGCTTGATTTTATTTGTTTTGAAATGCAAGAATTAATCCTTACTTTCAATATTATACAAAAGATATTTAATGAATGAAACTTATTTTTGAACCAAGATAAAACTGAATTTGTTAAATTCGATAAAAAATAATTTTGATGTAAAGAAATCTCATAATATTCTTGGTTCACTTGTTGATACCAGTAAAGATGTTGAACGTAGAATTATTCTTGCTAATATGGCATTTGCTAAGTTTTGAAGGGTATGGTCAGATATAAAAATCACTATAAAACGTAGAATACAAATATATGATGCCCATGTACTTTCAGTACTTTTGTATAATTGTAGTTGCTGGGCGCTAACAAAAAGAATGCTTGATAGAATTGATAAAATTCAGAGACGTCATCTCTGTTACATATTAAAAATTAGATACCCTAAAATAATTTCAAATGAATCATTATATAAAGTAACAAATACATGTTCATTATCTAATCGAATTGAAAATGCAAGATGGAGTATGTTAGGTCACGTGTTGCGTTTTGATGATTTAGTTCCAGCATATAGTTCCTGGCTTTTGCTATTAAATCTTTAAAGGATTTGAAATGATATAAAGCCCCTTCAAAATTCACCTTATTGGCACTTTCAAAAAAGATATTGAATTTAAAGGCCTTAAATTAGATACATTAGATGATTTGTAATGATTAGGATCACTAGCTAAAGATAAATTATATTGGAATAGCATGATGGATTGAGAATACAGTTATAGAATATTGTTTTATTTATAGTAAACTTTTTAGTTAAGTAATATTGTATATTTGTTTTATTATTGAAAACGTCCTTATTTATATTTTGTAAAAAATTAAGTTTAACATTATAGCTGTTACTTATCAAAAACAAATTTATTTGTATTTTGGATTAAAGTTTATAATAATATGTGTAATGTATATATGTATATGTGTATATGTATATGTGTTGTATATATGTATATGTGTATATGTATATATAATGTATATATGTATATGTATGTATATATATATGTATATATATATGTATATATATATATAATGTATATATGCTGTCTCTTATACACATCTAGATGTGTATAAGAGACAGACCTACTGGGCTAAACTAGAAGGGTTACACTCTTTAAAGACTGTCTCTTATACACATCTAGATGTGTATAAGAGACAGCTATGGATGTTACTAGATGACTTCGGACTTCAATGAATGAGCCAGACACCAAGTAAGCTGGATGTTAACGGTTTTATTCTATACAAAGTGTGAGCCTCCAACAAGACGCAGCTTGGCTAGTCGACGAACCCCCACGAGAGAGCGAGACTCCGCGGGAACATC